GGCAAATATATGGGTCCATGGAATATGCATGCCCTAGCCTCTGTCATGAAGACAAGGATTGTCTCTGTCTATCCGACTTTAGGAGGCCCCAAGATGGTTGCACTGCTAAGCAGAAGCGTTTATCCAAGAAATGATCCAACTGATGTTCAAAACTGTGCCTACATCATGTTCACCAATGTTCATGGTGATGCGAACAAGAGCTTGTGGCATCCAAACCATTTCGTGGCATGCCTTCCAATTGGGAAGGAAGCACCTGTCCTGATCAATCAAAAAACTGTGTAAGTGGATCTTCTTGGCTTGGTTTTCTTGTTGAACCTTATGTCCCCACTTGGGACTCCTAGTATGTGAGGTGCATGACAATTTCAATCAGGTATACCTGATTGAAATTGTCATGCACCTCACATACAATGAAATGGTTTATCACTGTCACTTTATGATCTTTAATCCCCTCTTTGATGTATACGATGGTGTTGTATGTAACTTGCCTAACTTAAGGTCTTACTAAGATAATATACGGGTCCTTCTGAGCTAAACTGCACCACCTATAGGAAAATTTTATTTTTTACACTGTATCAGTAATAAGTGGGCTAGAATAAGAAAACAAGTTTTGCCAGTTAAAGAGAACATGTAACAGATAGAATAAACAATTTCGGGTAGGCATGTTTAATCAAAGAAGATAAAATTAAATAAAACAAAAAAAAAAACCTACATTTTTTCGGACGTTTTTTGTGACTTAAGAATAATTATTATTATCATCAACAATATGCTGTAACAAATTAACAATGTGAACTTTCTGTCCTGGAAAAACGTAAAATTAATGTGCAATATTTTTCTAAACAAAAACACAAAAAGTCATCTAGTAAATATTTTTTAATAGAAAAAATATACATGTTAAAGGGAGAATTGTACAACGAAGCTCATTGTGTTCATGCAAATACCACAACAGTCTCAAAAGTGTGCATTACATTTTCTAAATAAATGAAATTGTGACCATGTTATTTCATTGCTGAATAATTTTTTTGAAAACAGAACATCAGAAAAAACATTACCAGCGGTAAGCAAGTTGCTGTTGAAATTTATGTTTACTGTTATTTATTCAGTTATTAAATGTATTGATACTTTTACAAAAGTTGCTGTTGAAATTTATGTTTACTGTTATTTATTCAGTTATTAAATACAGCTGAACTCTGCCATTTCGAATGTTAATTGAATTTGAAGCTATTAGAGTTAAATATTTGGTCCCAAATTAAAGACTTCATGTTTTAACTAAAATTCAGATTGTTGATACCTATTTCATATATATATTTCAAAGTTTTTATTTTTGGGGGGTGGGGAGGGGGTGTTCCAGTCCAGAATTAAAGTTTTATTCATAAAATCGCATTCCCAGTGGCTTCGAAATAGCGTTGTTCAGCTGTATAGTTTTACCTTTGTTCCATTCATTTTGAAAATGTTATATAATACTTCATCTGTTCCTATTTCAAACCATGTTGCAAATACTTCTTCTTTAAGTTAGTACTACTCATGCTATTGTTAAATTTATCTAAATACTTGATCATAATTGGAAATGCTCTTAAATAAGTTTGTTACTTTCACAAAGGTGAAAAGTTATAATCTATAGTGAGTGCACTATTAGAATTTTCAGAAATGTTCAATCTTGCAGTCAGACAATTTTAAAAAAGGCTTTTAAAAAAAAGTGAAAAAACTTTCAGTTCTGCTTTTAATAATAATATACATGTAAATTGATAATTAGAAAAGCATTGTGGCAAATGATAAAAATTGCTTTTGTCAAGCAATTTCTCCTTTTGCCACAATGTTTTTTTTAAAGTTGTCTGCTGCAAGACGCAAAAATGTTGCGTTACGGGGTAATGAGTAAAGATTGTTAAAAAGCTTTATGAGCAGACTGATCAAACTGGGCCTGCTATTGTCATTTTGTTGGGTGCATTCTGTGCTTCCAAGGGATCTTCTTCAGATTTGTTCACTTTTTTGCAGTTGGAAACAAACAACACGAATGACAAAGACGTGGTTGGGTCAGTAATGCAGGAAATGTCGTTCACCATGGGAGAGTACCTGCTATGCCAATACCAGATGAAGAAAAACACTTTGCAGTATGTTGGAGAGGTAGAATATTTGTTGCAATTTCTTAAGCTGTATCTATAGCTCTTTCAAAAACTGATTGATTCAATTATTATAATTCTCAGTTCAGGAAGTTTTAAGTTCACTTTGACTCCCAAATTTTAATGGGTGACATATTGATTTGGTCTGTTGTCTAGCTGTGCATCTGTCTGTCTGATAAACTTGTTTCGCATGCATCTGGACACCTGTTACCACTGTTTATCATGTATTTGATAGACAGTCCATTTACTGTCACGATTTTGCCGATAACGTTTTTTAGGATTTCGAATTTTGTCTAATGGTTTGGAACGTTCGTACTTGGTTTTATTTATTTTTAAATAATAGAGTTACATCACTTCTAGTTTTAAATTGTTTTTTTTTAGGTCACAGCTATTTCTGAAGAATCCCTTCCATGTGTAGAATTTCTGGAGAACACAAAAGATCCTGTCTTGAAAAAAAGGAAGCAGATACCTGAACGAGCTTTAGTGGACCATAAAAACATTATTAAAAAACTTCATGCGCCAGAAACAGTGTTTAGTGGCAGACAAGTTGTGTTGCTTTTTGAAGAACTTTTAAAAAGCTGTTAAAATAGTTCATTATATAAATGTAAACAGCATTTTTATGCACTTAAATGATGACTTTAATGATGAATATGCCTTGTCTCTTAACTCTATACCACCTGCAGACATTTTTTTCTTGAAGTTGACAACTTAAAAAGGCTTTGTAAACACATGAAAAAAAAACACGTGATCTGCACACAACTTTTACCAGGTTCAGTTGTCCGTCGGACAGGGGGGGGGGGGGGGGGGGGGGGGGGTCAAGGGAGTATGGATTTTATGTGGACATGATGGGGGGAGGGGTGTTCAAATCACCTAGATTGTTTATATGTAATGCATTTAGTATTTTTCTACACTTTTGTAAGTTGTGCAGTGCAACTTTTTCAGTGTCTGTCAGAAATGATGATAGAAACCGCTTGTTTCTATTGTCATTTTTAATGTCCGTCAGAAATGACAGTAGAAACATAACACTGACTATCAATGCAATGTCGTTTTAGTCCAAGAATATCACAATCTCATCTCTATAACTGTCCATTAGGCCACATGTGATATTTCAATCCTTTGAAATCATAGTGATACCCATAAAACATAAAAAAGGGAGTCGTGTCCGTCAGATTATGTCCGTCAGAATGACGGTAGAAACACGGTCGAAATTCACAACATCTAAAATGCAAATAAAAACAATTCTGCAGGGGGTACTGAAATTATAATAATAGCTGAAGGATCCTGATCCCATCCACTATCAAATAGGCTTATTTAAATATCTCATATCCCGTTTTGGGCAGTTTATGATGATGGGAGTTGACTGGTACCTTTTAGAATAGAATACGCCTCTATACTCTATGCTATGTTATGTACGGTATTCTAAAAAAAACTTCAAGCCGTTCGACTTATATAGGCCTATATATATAATATAGGCCTATTTAGATCTATCTATGGAATAAACTTGATGATAAGATAGCGTAAATGTTTTATACTATAGTAGGCCTACCGGTAGTCGGTACAGGACACTGGAACAAATAGGGTAAACTCAGAAAAAAAACTGCTACAATAAAATTTTAAATGTTTTTTTTCTACTTCTAGACTAGCTAGGCTAGTCACAGTAGGTTAGGCTTTAGGTACTGTTGTAGTGCACATAATGTGATATATGAATTCTACTAATAAAAGAAAACCTTTAATTAAAGATATTTTAATTTCATGATCACACCATACAAACATATGCTGTCTAAATTTACCAAGCTATAATAAATTCACTTCTGTAGGCTACTGTATGTATGTACGGTACTGTAGCCTGCTTGTAAGTTGTATGTATTAGTAACTAAGTAAGCTTAATCTTTGTTTACCGAGCCATAAAATCTAATAATCTTCCTTGCTTGGTTTTGTGCAACGTTTGCTTCCACACAGTAGCCTAATCGATATTGCAGAAGAAAGTCACCCATAAATACTAAAATAGGACCCTTTACTACCTGTACCCCAATTGTTTACAATTTATAAATGACATAAATTATGCTTTAAAGGAGCTAAATCACTATTCTTTGGCACCTAGAAATGGACACACAAATGGGTCGCAATGCATACATAATATATTATGAATGTACATGGTATATAAACTGATTTACATTCAATCATTTCGGTTTATGCTGTAATTTCTAATCAGTTATGTTCTGGGAAGAGTCCAGATTGAATGGCAATCTTTGATGTCTAGTATTCTCCTGTATGTTCATTGAGTAACTTCATTACAAATGACACTCGAAAGCATTCTGGCACGCGATTTGTACTCCAATTTTAAAATGTTCATTTTGTCTTAAATATTGGATATCAGAACCCCATCTTTTCACGGTAAGATAACAACATCAATGTTGATTTGAATTTACCAATAAGTCTTGTTTGCAATGTCGAAGACTGAATTTACCAATAAGTCTTGTTTGCAATGTCGAAGACTGGATGATATTGAGTTAAAGAATTGCCTCCTTTAAGTCTTAGTGAAAGAGTAGAGTTCCCTTGGTTTAATCTTGTGGGGTTTTTTTTCTGAACCTTAAGGTGGCTGACGGCTGGTCTTTTACACTGTATGATCTGTTGTCCATATAGATATCCTGGTTTCATTCACTAATTGTATGTAACAAGTAAGATTGGCTGGCTGACTTTGATCTTTAAAATCCAGTTCCCTTTTCTTTGTTTAAGACCACTTTGCATTTATAAGCAAATCATTGAAATAAAAGTAGCCTATACGATATATTAATCCTGAGATGAACTGATTCCACTGATTGGACATTAACTTGAAATAATGATTAAATTTGATATTTATATGTTTATTCATTGACTTCATTTCAGAAAAAGAATAAAATCAACATCAAAATATATTTATCAAACTTTATTTCTTAATGGTGAAAATAGTGATGTTACTATATTAGCATTGAATAAGGAATGGAAACTACACAGACATTATCTATGCCAGGTAAAATATACTAAACTGTTGCTTTTTTATTGGAGTCTAATGCACAAAGAACCAAGCCAAATAAAGTACTGAGTCATTCTACAAGTCTAGTACAGTCTTGTGTTGTGTATTAGACCTTAGGACAAGGCCTCCCAAACTGGGGTTGATTTATTACCAAAGAGTAAATTTTGCCAACACAAGGTAAATTTTTTTAATCTGGATTTTTTCCAAGTTTATTCCAACAAAATTCTAAAGTTGAAAAGTAAGTTAGGGAAATAACATTGCTATGTACTATATTATTGTTATTTGACCCAGAGAAAACCCACGGGGTGGGACAGGCAACCCTACTCCTTGTCACGTACATGTACAACCGAGGATTCGAAACCACACCAGTTGACTCAATGACAGGCCTTATGATACAGCGCGCACAGGCTAACCATTCGGCCATCCAACCCCCCGTGTGACGAAGAATGCTTGGAACTCTTCTTTAGAATGTCATCAAAGAGATGTGCAGCATTCGGTAATTTGATCATTTTCAAACATGTATTAGACATAGGAAGTTTTTCTAAATGGAGCTACGGGTAAACCTCTTTGATTTAGGCCAAAATAGACTATTGAATTTTTTTGAGCTAATGTTTTTGTAAGATGAAGCCGAAGTCAACGTGTTTGCTCATTTTTATTTAAATTTGGGCAAATTGTGCCTACAGTGGAACGAAATTGATTATTGGCTCGATCTATGGAAATAGAATTAACATATAAAATCTAATGAAATCAACAATTATATTTTTAACCCAGTGAAATATTCAAACTGAATGAAAAATACTAATTATTTATTTGTTTTATTTTTGATTTAGTGTGGTTATTTTAATAGTATGTTTAATGGTAACTGGTTAGAATCAACTCAACCTACTGTTGAAGTAGATATCCTAGATGAAAACATAGACGAAGCATGTGGGTATTACACTTCTTTGTTGTATCCTGGTGTGGGGGGAGGGGGGGAGGACATCTTCAAAATCCTTTGCATTTCGTCATTGTATAGGTGACAAGTTCCATTGTGAATAATTAAGTGTAATTATATTTTTGATCTTAAAATATTATGTAGTGTCTATACAAGATTTTTACATTTGAAGCAGCTTATTTTTATTTGAAGGAATTTTGAATCCTTTGTAAACAATAATTTACTGAAAGTTGTATCACTAATATGAATATCAGTATAAAAATGGTTTAATGCTACTCACTATTTACATGTACGTATTATCTCAGAACAATATTCTATTACATGTTGGTGGGTTAATTTGATTAGAATATAGATGAAGGGTGAATAATGTAGTTCGATTCACCTATGGGTGTGGCTCTTTTGGCTTCTTCCTGTAATACAGGCCTGGTAGAATGATTTTAGTTGTACCTGAAAAATTGTGAGGTGCTAATGAACTTGTACCTGACATTTTGAACGATATGCCAGATAAGTATTAAAAATATTAATGAATAAAAAGAAAAAAGTCAAATTTGGGCCAGATGAATTGACAAAGATTTGTGTCTGACACTGTGATTGATTCCATGCAGTTATATTTTTATTCCTAGAGTATTGTAGATTGTCCACATTGCTACTTGAAAATTGTTTTCCTCTACAGACAATAGAAAAAAATATTGGGTATTGTTTCGTTGGGCATATCTTTTAATTCCCATTGAATTGATGCTGAGAGATTATCTACTGTTGATATTTTGGTTTTGTATTCTTAACCATGACTATGCCATGGAAAATTAGATGTTGTCTGAAACATGACAGTTTCATTACATGAACACTTTGTACATTTACATGATCTGCAACAACAACAACAAAAAAAATGATTTTCATCTCAGGTTTCTTGTGATTTATTTCAAGAGTTATAATCTGTTATATTTAGCTATATGAACTATTGATATTTATCATAAATGGTTTTATTATTACAGCTTTAAAGATAGCATTTGGTTCATTATATAAAGATGATGTCATATTTAAACCAGTTCAACTTGTTAAAGTTTTGGCAGCAGCTACATTTCTTCAATTGGTAAATATATATTATCCTACTATTACTATAAACTAGAGCTATGTATTGTATTGTTCTAGCCCAGTATATTAATATACAAGCAGGAGTATTGTAGTAATACATGTGTATTGTGATAAATATTTATGAACATTGAAATTAAAATTATTGTAATTAGATCCTGAATGATGTCATCAAATATGAAACAAAATTTAAACACAGTAAACAAATATCTGAATTCTTCAGTATTGTACACAAATTGCTTCGCTGTCATTCCACAGTTATCAAACTAAAGGAATGTACAGGTGTCGTGTGTTTTCTTGAAACAAGGAAGCAGATATGCAAATTTGAACATGCTTCACAATCGTGACATGTGGTAGAACTATAATAAATTGTGTGTTTGATATTAACACTTTTAGTTTATTGTATATTAATGATGTAAGTTATTTTATTATCTATAGGAAGGTCTGATACAACATTGTGTTGATATGATGACAGAAACAATGAGGTAAAATTTTAATATTATTTTTAGGCTATGCAAGAGAAATAGTTATGATAGTGATGCAAGGCTTATTGAGTTATCACAAACATCAAGGTTTTGTATTAATCACATCATGTTTAATTTCTGATTGTTGGTAACATTCATAAGGGTTGTGTAAGCTTACTTGATAATTGAGCATACTGGACACTTTCTAATCAACCTGAAAATTTTAGTGGGATTACTTCCCTTTAAGGAAGGACATTTGAACTTGCGTCATTTAAATGAATACCCCCCCCACACACACACACACACACACACACACACACACACATACCGTTTTTCACTTGGTAACCAAATTGGAATATCTCAGTATAACTATTTGTTAGTTGCATTTTTTAATTCATATGTTTAAGATATGTTAAAATAAAGCCTTATAACAACACATAGAATACATACACAGTCCTACCTTGTTAAAGAGTAATCCTAAAAATTCACTGTGAGTTGAGAAATTGGCAAATATATGTATATCATTTTCAAATTGAAACATCAGTGCTGAGCTTTACCAATTCTATGGAGCTTATAGAAAACAAGGGAGGTAATTTTGTTTTATTTCCGCTAGCTGTTAGTATTTGAAGTGCTAGAATGATTCCTATGAATTTATTGTTATAGAGATTTGACAACCTATAAAAGAATGAATATAGAAATAATTATATTATAGCTTTTTTAGAAAATATGCAACTATGGCTTTAAAGTAATTGATAATTTGTATCAGTATATCAATGTGTAATTTAAAACATTGTATTTGTATTTTAGTGGAGAGATTGTTGTGGAATATTATAATGCCTGTCAGAGATATGGTTTAGTTAAGAATAAACAGTTAGCATTGAACTGGTTACTACACAATATTATGTCACCACCAAACTTCTTTGTTCTAAAAGAAATCAGGTAAAACAACATTGTTCTCAATTAATGTGATTGATTTTTTTTTTTCTTTGGATAGATAAAACTGGGCGTTGGAAACTATGAGACGCCAAATATAAATATACATTAAATCTTAATCTTTCCTGCCATAAACTCAAACCCAAATCCATATCCCAAGGAAACAGTCATTCCTTACGGATTTAATGAAAAGCATGATTTAGAAATTTCTAACTAAAATTTGCATTTACATATCCATAGAAATTAAACCCCAAAATGAATGACATAGAATGTTTAATTTTTCTAAGCTGTACTTTCTTTCATGTAAAGTTAATGAGATTTTGTTCAAACTTGTGGGGATTGTTTGTCTAGCTATCAGGAAGAATCTATTGAGTACGGAGGATTTACATCAAAATTGCGAGTCAAACAATGATTTTTCGCAGATTTACTCTCCCGATGAAATTGTTCAACTTATCATAAGGAGGAACTCATAAATTAAATACGAACACATTTTCATGTGTATAATTATGCAGTTGCCCTTGTCCGTCCCAATTTGGTTGTTGACACTCTACAGGTCACATTTTTTATCCGATTTTGGCGAAACTTGAAATATAGGTCTATCTCCCAAAGATTTCGATTCCTTTCGATATTGGTATATATCGGTCTATCGGAGCATAACTTCATGGATTATGCCCCCTGATTGTACAAAAAATCACATTTTTAGCTTGTGGACACTCTAGAGGTCACAATTTTCATCTGATTTTGATGAAACTTGATATGCATGTTTATTACCCAAAGATATTGGTTCCTTTTGATATTCGCGCATATCGGATCGTAATGTCCTAAATTATGGCCCTTGATTATACTCAAAATCTTGTTTATTAGCTTGTGATCCCTCTAGAGGTCACAATTTTTATCCGGTTTTAAAAAGGGTTTGAATATATCACTATTACACCCTAATGATGGTGGAGTTCGAATTTCGTGAAAATTGGACCAAAACTGCCAGACAAAATGGCAGCCCCTCATACGCAAATAGTGTAAAAGTATGGTATATCAAGGTTGTGAATCCTCTAGAGGCCACAATTTTGATCCAATATTGATGAAACTTGAAATGTATTTTTATAACCCAAAGATCTTGGTTCTTTTTAAAATTTGCGCTTATCAGACTTTAACTTCCTGAATTATGGCCCCTGATAGTACAAAAAATCTTGTTTCTTAGCTTGTGGATTCTCTATAGGTCACAATTTTTATCCTATTTTAAAAACTGTTTAAATATATCACCATTACAATGGCTGTTCTTTGCAAATTGTGTAAAAGTATGTAATACCAAGGTTGTGGGCCCTCTAGAGGTCACAATTTTTATCTGATTTTGATGAAACTTAAAATATATCTTAATATTTCAAAGATCTCAGTCCCTTTTGATATTTTTGCATTTCAGATCACAACTTTCTGGATTATGGGATGGCCCCCTGATTTTACGAAAAAACGCTTTCGATTTTAGCTTCTTTTCTACCCATCATTTGCAAAATGTGGGCACATCTTGCCTGGCAACCTCTGGTTATGGATAGTTATAGTGCCTGACCCTGAAAAATACGAAGGCACCTGGCGTTAATTATTAGAAAAGAAATGGGGTATAACGTCCTACTGTTCAGCTCCGACTTGGCTAATGAAGATGGCATAGGCCCAGAGAGCGGGTCTGTGGCTGACTCTTATATCGAATTCCAACTGCCATAATCACTAAACCACCGCGGCTCCTGTTCCAATATTAAATTTGTAGTAATTGTAATAAAATGGGTTGTTAATGTATTTTACAGTTGTGAACTGATGATAGAACTGATTACATCCCCAGATTTATGGGTTTTACAAGTGGAAATGGATGTCTATAGTTTACTCAGAAAGGTAATGTAATGCTTTATTACACAAAATGAAATAGGCTGATGAAAACAGGCACCCATACAGTGTGTTATCAGGGAAATGTTGTCTGCCTGGACAAAGGCGGTACACTCAACACTGACAAGCGAAAGCCTCACTGGAAAATCATGAGGAACTCTGCACCAGGAGCTAACCCAATATCTCCTGGTTAGCGAGCAAACATCTTACTCAATGAGTCACTGTGGCTTCATAACATCACATTTGTATTGAAATATAACTGGAAAAATGAAATGGTGTTTAGCAAGTTACTTTTCTAGACTAATGAAGACAGGAATAAACTATGATGGAAATTTTGCCCTAGGAGGGGGTTTCTGACTACTATTCTTTGAATTCTAGCAGTGAAGGGCTCTTTTACATGCACACCAATGATTACACTTTTCCCTGCACATCTAACCAGGGAATCAGCTCAGAATTTTCTCTATCATCACTAGGCTTGACCTCCTGGTTAATAAGTTGGCACCATGCTCATTGAAATTGATCTGAAATTCAACATGATTACATAACTATTTAACTAGCCTTGTGATAAAATGAGAAATGTTTGTTGTTTTTTAGTGGATATTTCTGCGGAAGAAGCCATCTTGGACTGGTAGATGTAAAGAACTTTTAGTAGATGTGGATAATTTTTATAAAAACTCTTTTAAAGGCAAGTATGTTAATGTGGTATGACATATATTGTAATCCCCTTTCTATCCTTTGGGCCGTCCACAATTTCTTGTCTACGCTCCAGAGGCTACAGTATTTGTCAGATTTTTCTGAAATTTTCATTGAACTTGTATTATGGCAAGATGAAGATCACTATTTCTATTTGTCAAAATTCGGGTTAATACTTTTAGAGTTATACTCCATTTTTGTGAATTATCCACACTTCTTGTCATCACAACAGAGGCTACAGTTTTTATCGGGTTTTTCTGAAACTTTCAGGAAACTTGTATTATGACAAGACAAGTATCCCTATTTCGTTTTGTCAAAATCTGATACCCGTCCACACTGCTTGTAATGCTTGTCAGCATAATAGAGGTCAGAGTTTTCATCAGACTTTTTGGAAACCTTTAGGAAACTTGTATTATAATAAGATGATCATTATTTCTTTTCTTCGAATTAGATTAATATTTTTGAGTTATCCCCCTTTTGGTCAAAACCTGTCAACACTGCTTGTATTGTCAGCCTAATAGAGACTTGGGTGATTTTCATTCAGATTTGATTGAACAGTACAAAGTAAAATCATTACTTAAAAATTGTATTTTTTTGCTAATTTTATTTTGATTTCTTAGTGTTAATAGTGGAACTTAAATTCTCAAAACACTGGCTGTATCTGTTCACATTGACACAGATTGTGATCCCATAAAATAAATCAACATATAAAATTAAATGAAATCGGCCATATCATTCTTGACCCAAATCAAAGAGGTCACAGTCATTTGAAGTAATTAGACAAACATTTATAAATTGACTAAATCTTTTAAATAATTTCAGAAAAGAAATTGTGTTATTTAGAGTTACCTGAAGCAAAAGATTGTCTTCCTGTATTTCAAAGAATCAGATGGCAGCATGTTATCAATGATACATCATCTCTTAAAGCTCTGAAATGTGAGAAAGTAGTACCAGAAGGTAGGATTGTTGAATAATATAATGTAGTGGCAGGGCGATTTACCCAATACTACCAAATAACACCACATACCTCAAATTAACTAAGTGTCCAGTTGTTTGAATGTTATTAAAAACGTTAAACCCTGTGTCATTTCATTTTTTTTTTGCATTGATTATAGGATTAATATACCACCTATATCAAAATTTTTGCTTTTGATTGTTAGAAGTATCATATTTTTAGATTGAAATAAATTGTAGGCTTTGAATGTGTGATCTAATTAATGTTAAGGGGACAATTATTCATATTTCAGATTGGTTGAATCCTTTATACAAACATCAATGGTTTTATAGACTTCAAACAGAACAAAATATTGATAAAGGGTAAGATGGCTGGGTTATGTTTATCTTTTAAGATGGTAGTAGCTTCAAGCCATATTTTGGTTTTTGTCTAGTAAATAAATTGAAATGGGGTTTAATGTCCTACTGTTCTGCTCCAACTGGGCTAATGAAGACATGTTTTTGTCTAGTAAGGGAATATGAACATTTTGATAAAACTCAAATTAGTAACCAGTTAGGCCATACCAATTTGAATTTCTGTTGTCTGAGAACACCTAATTAAAATTCTGCCTCTAATTTGTTCAGGAAGAAAGATAATTTACAAACAGAAATTCCTCATTCTAACTTTTAAAATTTAACAATACATTGCACACAAGAAAGAATTGAGTGGGTTATGTCTTGATCAAGACCCTGAAGAACTAAGAATTAAAATAGTTTGGCATTAGTTAAATAAGAAGAATCCCTTAAAGCGACAAATCTATGTGTATCTTTTGATTAAATAGAGATTGTTAGCGAGACAAGATCACACTTTTTAAAGCAAGTTGGACACCATTTTAATCAACCCCATGGTTTCCAGGTAGCTTTGTCAAATTGTAGTCATGAATGACTGATTGTCGTCACATCAATAGAAGGGAACACAAACAGCAATTAGACCCTGTATTGAGCTAGCAGCACCCGCAGTAAAAATAAATATAGTAGTATGAGTTTTTAGAAAGGTCATGAATCAAATCTGCAAGTGTAACTTAATTGTACAGATTTCTGCAAGTGTAACTTGAAACATGTATGTATAGATTTCTGAATCTGATTTAGTTTTAAAGAAATGTTGACATGTGAACATGTTTATATATTTTTCAGGCCAAATGACAATTTAGAAGAAGATATATTTTTAAAGGAATCAACAAGATATGGTAGAATGTTGTTACGACCTGGAGAGGTAAGTCTCTCATTTCAATATGAAAACATTTTGTTGATGAATTGACTAGAAGATACTTATACACCATATACTGTGATGCAGAATGTTCTGGAATTTTCATAGTGCCATGTCTTTAAACCCTTTTTTTGAACTGATAATCCTTTTGGAGATTCAACTTAGATAATATTGGACATTGCAAGGGATTCAAAATCCCTAAAATGTTGATCAGTGGTTTTGATATGGAAATTTTTGATATACTGACTAGTTTTTAAAGAACCATCACACATTGTCGGATGTCAGTAGCATCAAGTTAGAAATACTCATCCTCACTTGCAGTATAGCTCTATATACAAATCTTACTTTTGTGTTGCAATCGTCGAGTAACTGTGCAATAGTCATTGATGCATCTGAATTTGTGTGTTAACAATTTGACACATGCTATTTGAAAGCTTGACCACTCCTGATCTAGTCAAATAAATGTGTTGTAGTAGTTCTCCCACTGTGAAGATATATGTATAATAATATGTACTTATCATGTTCTATTTGATAGATCTGTTTGTATTGTTTATATTTGTAGTTTTGTTGGAGATTTATAGGTTTTAACTATGGTTTTGATTTGTTATTATCTTATGTAAATGGGTAAGTTGGAGATTACTACTTTTTCTGTTTGCATTGCAACATCTGAATATGTAAGGGCAACCAGCTGGATGATTTTAACTATTATAGAATGAAGAAGTAAAGTAAACAAAACAGTTCTATGGAAAACATTTACTGTATTTTAATCAGAACTATGTTTCTTCATTGTGCTTGAGAGCAACAAGAGAATTATTGCAGAAATGTAGCTCTGATTAAACTACATAAATTGTTTTCCATAGAACTGTTGTGTTTAGTTTAGTAATAACTAAATACTGTTTAAACAGAATAAAAATACAGTAATTGTTTTCCATTGAATTGTGTTTATTTTAATGTGTTCAATTACTAAATGCCATTTAAACAGTATAAGAAGGGACATATTTTTTTTTATGTAACATAAAAATACTTATTCTTTATTTAATTTGTTTTGATGAGATAGTATATGTTATATTTGTTTTACCGATATCAGATACTTTCTACCAATCTGATTACTGATATATATGTCACACTATATACATGTTCTTTTTTTTTTTTTACTATTTTCTTTCATTTTCTCATTATTCATAGTCGTAATTATCATGACCCAATATTAACAATTTGTTTAAACAATGTCCTACTTTTCTGCATATACTGTGAACTATGAGATAAATTTTGCCCAGACAGCAGCGCTACAGCCTACTGACAAGAGAAAACAATGCGGGAAAATCCTTAGGTACTTTCTCAGCCAACACTGGGAGCGAACCTGAGACTTCACTGAGCCAACGCAGCTATCCGGTTGCTTTGATATTTATATTTGATATTGTTATGGATTAAAGGTATGTTTATATTTCAGTATGGTATTAGTAAAAAGAAACTGTGGTAATAATTGTTCAGGATCTATAGGTCTACAAGATACTAGACAAATAATGTTAAGGTACAATTAAAAACATTTTTATACACTCACATTTCATGTAGTATATTGTTATCACCGTGTCTGTTGGTCTCCATGTCTTGTCATGTGATATTTTACAGAGTCACTGTCCCTTGCAAATCAAAGTTTATTGGGCCAATCGTAAGAAGGACCCCAAAAATTTTTCACACACAGATCAATGTTTATGAAAAATAAATTTCAGATTTATGGAGATAATTTGTTTAACCATGGAATCAGCATTTAGACTTGTCCATTAGTTTTATCCATATTAAATTGAATATGTAATTTACTTAAACATTTTTGTATGGCAATATTGCAAGGAGAATTCTTGAATAAATTATAGTAAATTATATATTTGGTTAAAGACTTTTTGTCAGGGTCAGAGATTTTTCTAGCAAAAGTAAAATTGTTGGTCAGTATTCATCGGTGAATTCAAACAAAGGAAAGATATTACATGCTGACAGCCTGACACTGCAATAAAATGAGGTCCTGTACATCTCTATTTTAAAATATTACTATTTTTAAGGTGTTAAAAATTTTGTTATATATTACAGACTGACAGCAGCATCTTTAGATAATAAAGGCAGTATTTTAACAGAGAAAACAACAGGAATACAGTATTTAAAGTTAACTAGAGATGAGGTATTGTCAAATAAACTCAAATAGATATATAGTAGAGCCCTTGGGTAAATGCAAACCCATATTGTGGGACATCTAGTCATAATTTATCTAAAATTATCACGCTTCTTGATACCATGACAGCACGTGTTATTGTAAATTTAAACTGTCATTATGTAAGAGCGAAATCTGCCTATTGCGCAATCTGATGAAAATACAGATCTATATTTTGTTTCGTTTTTTTTTATTCTTTCGATGACCTACACTACATGAAGATCTGACAAGTTATAGCGATAGGTCACATCAGGGGTCAAAAGACCAACTTACGATCCTATGACGTCAGGCATTTGATTAACCAATCAGCATTGATGTTACTAGTGGATTACCCACAGTTCCATGAAAAACACGCCTAAAGCTCGCCGTAACAGACCGTTTCATTGGCTTATCCCTGACACCATTCAGAACACGAGTTAAATAACAACTCTTCCAGATCCAAGTGTAGTAAAGTCAAGTAAAACGGAAATTTGAACTATAAAAACGGAACGAAATAGGATCTGTGTTTTAACCAGATTGCCTATTGCAGGTCTTACTTTGGGCTGTAAATGTTATATAAATTATTAATTAGATATTTATTAACACGACAAGACTGCAATCAACTCTCGATGCCATCGGATGGCTCTGATTTTATGTAGATTAGAACTGTTAGGCCATTGAAATAATGATTTAATTTGAAAATAGGGAAGCGAGGCTAAGACTCGAATAACCAGTACGGTGGTTTACGATCAATGCACACGTCATGTCAAAACTACAACCATTGATAACTTGGTTCAAAATAAAGTAATTTGAATGAAATTTTCAACATATTCATTTTGCATTATCTATTTTTGAAATAATATATCGAGAACGGTCAGCTCTTTTCTAAATCTTAGATAATGCCCCTTTAACATTTTACTAGCCAAGTGTATTTGTAACAGAACATCAAACCTAGATTCAGAATTCATCAACTACTGCTGTCATTGATTTCTGAATTTTTCAACACCTATCTAAATAATATCAACTCAGTTTGAATAAAACTAAGAGTTTTGATCAGCCAATACTTTTTCATTACACATATTAACTGCATCATCATTAGAAATTAACTGCAACGTTGTAAGAACAGCAACTGCAAACATTTTGAAAAGACATGATAAATTTGTGAATTATTTTACTTCAACAATTTGAAAAATATATAGTGGCAAGTCGCTGTCCTGCATTTCTCTCATAAAACTACTAGTTTCATTATTTTGTGAACTCTTTATGCTAAAGTGAGAATGTGTAGCTGTTCCCATTATATAGTCATTTGGGACCAGAGAGAGAGAGAGAGAGAAATGGGGTTTAACGTCCACTCGACACAAACTAGGTCATTTCGGGACTAACATATGGTTTAATTTTATTTCAATAATTCGCTTGCGCGTAGGGGTCTTTAGCAGTGGGAGGAAACCGGAGGACCCGGAGAAAACCCACGAGATTGGACAGGCGACCCTACTCCTTGTCACATACAACCGGGGATTCGAAACCACGCCAGTTGACTCAATGACAGGCCGTATGATACAGCACGCACGTGCTAACCATTCGGCCATCCAACCCCCCCTTGGGACCAGAGTAAAGGTGACATCCCAGGTTCGGAAAGAAAGTCATTGGTCATTAACATGTACTTCAAATAAACTCAAATGAATAAAAATTATATAACAATGATATGCCTACAACCACAGCTGTGAGCTGGGTGTTCATTTTCAGTAGGGTATGGCACAGATTCCCCCTTAGAGGCTGTTATCATTTTTTATGAGAGGTTTTTTTTTTTCATTTAATTCCTGGGTTTTGTGTGTGTCAAGCATTAAGGACCTCCTCTACACACAAGCAAATTATTGGAAAAAAGATAAACCATATTAGTCTACAAATGACCTGATTGGTGTTGAGTTGGACAATAAACCCAATCACTCTTGTCTTGGTTGTACTATATTTCCTTCACTAACTAATTGAACATCATTGTTATTATATTTTTTTGTAGGAATGTGTTATGTTAAGAGTTCAACCGGAGACTGTGTTTCCACTGTATGTTACATTAAATGTATTGGTATATACTCCTCTACCTGATTATCCTTGTCCACAGTTAGATATAAAAACACCTTCAACAATAGATTATACTGATGTAGCTGTACAAACTATCGGACAAACTGAAACTATAGTCATTACAGAAACAAACGATACAGAAACAGATATTAGTGGTGAAAGTGAAACCGAGTAGTTCTTTGTCATTAAACGATTTGGATTCATAGACAAAAAACCTTTAGATCTACATGCAAAGGATATTAGTGGTGAAAGTAAAACTGAGTACAGTAACTTAGTTCTTTGTAATGAAATGGTTTTATGTAAATCTTAATGGGTTCCTAGAACGACAACTTTTGATCTACATGAAATGTACATTAATGGTGAAAGTGAAACCGAGTAGTTCTTTGTAATATAACGGTTTTATGTAGGCCTAATGTTATTGGGTTCCTAGAAAAAAAAACTAGATCTACATACATTGAATATTTGTTGGGTTTTTTTTTATAAATCTGCAAGTGAAATCGAGTAGTTCATTGTTATTGAAATGTTTTGTTATAAATCTGCAATCTTCGTGCAATTGCCAAATGGGCAATGGAGGGACAGAGTTTTTCCTGTGGCTTTTTATTTATACAGTTTACTTTGTGAAAATGTTATAATTTTCCTGATGTGGAAAGGAGTCGTTACTGTTTTATGAAATAGGAGCAAGTGATAAATCAGCCATTAAGTAATTTCATGAACTCAAATTTTCACAGTTGGTCATTAGGAAATGAGATGAAGACTTTAAACAATGGACTGCACTGATTGCAGTCAAGTAAAATTTGACCAACTATCTGCACAGACTTACTATAAGATCAAAACTAGTCAGTAGTCCAGTAACAAAGCTTATCTTGTTAGAATTGACTAATTTATGTTTTTAGCAATTAATATGGTTAAAATCTGCTTATTGATGTAAAAAATTTCTGACTTGCATTAACACATTGCTTTTTTAAGATTACTAAACTTTATAATGCTAAACTTCAAAGAAAGAAGCATTATGTAAGAGCTAAATCTGCCTATTGCAGGTCAATTGTTTTTCTTCAAATGTTATATAAACTATTCACATGTCAAGCCTATAATCAACCCTCTAGACCATAGGATGACTGAGATTTTAATGGATTAGAACACCCGCAAGATTCCAAAATTAAATTATAAAATGGATAATCTATGTTACATCTTGTCAAACTTCAAACATTCATAACTTCACTCAGAATATTGACTGAAATTTCAATATATACATTTTTCAAAATCTATTTTTTAACTATTCTAGCAAGAACGACCAGCGCTTTATCGAATCATACATAATGCATATTTAAGAAATACTCACAACTTAATTATTGTGTATGCCTAATCTTATAATATCAGTATTTATACCATCTTCCATATTTTATAGGATTTATGTAGAGTTTTGTAATATTACTGTAAATTTTATTATTTATGGGTTTTTATAACTTTTATATGTTATATTTGATTGTATGAGATAAGTGAATATGCTCTTTGTAAAGTTTTAACGTGGTTGTAAATTTTCATCATTTAGTCTGTAGAGACTCAACCTCTTGTTACATTTTTTTATTTTTTTCAAATTCCACATTCACCGAGATTGTTCATTTGGCTCCAGATACTTCTAAACTTATAAAATCTTGTTAATGCAATACAGAACAGAGTTCTTGATAAAACTTTAGAACACTCTGGGATTATTCATTACAGGAAGAACCTCTGATAAATTTCTCGACTGTTATTTTATTTACTGTGCTAATAGCTGGAAATCGAAATAAGCTCTGCATGCAAAATTTCCCTTGTAGCACGGGGGGTTGGATGGCTGAATGGTTAGCGTGCGCGCGCTGTATCATAAAGTCTGTCATTGAGTCGACTGGCATGGTTTCGAATCCCCGGTTGTACGTGGCAAGGAGTAGGTTCGCCTGTCCAACCTTGTGGGTTTTCTCCGGGTCCTCCGGTTTCCTCCCACTGCTAAAGACCCCTACGCGCAAGCGAATTATGTAAATAAAATTAAACCATATGTTAGTCCCGAAATGACCTAGTTTGTGTCGAGTGGACGTTAAACCCCATTTCTCTCTCTCTCTCCCTTGTAGCACACTATATGTGTGTCTTCATTAAGTAGAGCGTTGAACACTATTTTTATGTTTAGTATACATGAGACACTAAGGGGCATTATTCAAATTATTTATACATGGCATGTTTGTTATTTGTTGATGTTGTATATAATAGATTTTGTGGTTAGCAGGATGAGTTATGTATATGGTACTAACATGATGCCTGTCTAATAATATATGATTTTACAACTGGGATATGTTTGTTATGATCGATTGATAACTCTTTGTTAGTTTGTTTATATCAGAAGTAAATTATTTTGTACTCACTAAATATTTTTTTATTGAAAAGTAACTAATAATAGAGTCCGGTCAAAGATCTTTGGCAATTTATTTGGAATCTAGCTAACCTCTTGCTTTCTAGAAGTAGAAGGTATACCTGTTTGGTTTGTTGGTGAAATATTAAACAATTTCATGTTGGCCAGTGAATGCAGCAGCAACAGTCTGATTGGTAGAGTAGTACTTGCATTATGTGGGACATTTTTTTCCATGCATCATTCCACGAATTCTGGAAGCTATATTAGACCACTTTCTAGTTGCTGTACTCACAAGCCGGAATGGCAGGAAAATGCATTTGTGCCGGTCTAATTGTCAAAAATATTTGGGTAAGGCCCTCCAAAATCTGGAATTAAGGTGAGCACTGAATGGGATTTTTCATTGTTAGATGCGCAGGTCGAAGCGCCTGGCAGGGTATACTGAGCCTAGTCCCTCCGAAAACCGTTGATGCATCGTCATTTGCATAGCACTTTCAGGTAGAAACGTAGAATGCTAGACTTTCATTTCATTTCTATGAATAATCATGTTGCCAACTGTTAGCCCTCTATAAACTACGATTGTGTTAATATACTTTATCATGTTTATATTTTACTCACCAGGGTCAAAATGTTGTGTTATTTACAAATTGAAATTTGACCCAGGTACGCCATATATTTAAAGGTACATTGCTGAATATATATATATTTATATATATATATATATATATATATATATATATATATATATATATATATATATATATACATTATTAGTGTATAACCAAATCCAGTCTAACAGTACAATAAAAATAGTATCCTTTTGTAAATTTGGTTTTAAAATTTAACTTTTTTCAACTAACGTCAAAAGACTTTTTACAAGAGTGTAAGCTTAATTGGATAAAGTGATGGTAAGCAACTCCGAATGCCAAATGGCTGGTCCATAGACCATACTGAAAATGGGAAGGAAATAAAACTTCTCTGCACCAACCTAGCTAATGAAGACATGTCTCCATGTCAAACTGTGCCATTTAAACACGTGTAATATCTGGTGATATATCCAATAAAACTTTAATGGTGTATAAAATATGCCCCATTAAACTATACTGGTATTCAAAATATGTGTAATGTATAATGGTCCGACGAAGCATAGCCTTGAATTCACAACACAGGTGTTAAGTTGTTCCGATGAACAAGATGTTGCAAGAATTGATAACGTATACAGCACAATGACAAGACTCAGAGAGAGAAATGGGGTTTAACGTCCACTCGACACAAACTAGGTATTTCGGGATTAACACATGGTTCAATTTTATTTCAATAATTCGCTTGCGCGTAGGTGTCTTTAGCAGTGTGAGGAAACCGGAGATCCCGGAGAAAACCCACATAGTTGGAACGTACAACCGGGGAATTGGAACCACGCCAGCTGGCTCAATGACAGACCTTATGATACAGCGCGCACATGCTAACCATTCGGCCATCCAATCCCCCCCCCCCCAATACTCAACAAGTCTTGTAACATTTGTGCTGGTACTTGTAGGTGCTAAGATCATATTTGATTTAACCAGTAAAGGCAAGACACCTCCTGGTCCCTAAGATGTTCCTATTTTAGGATATCTGCTATTCTTCGGTACTCATCCACACTCATCACCTTTATCAAACTTAGACAGAAACATTGCGTTAACAGCGTTAGTCTCTAAGGCGTTAAAAAATCATAACTATATTTGAATATCGTATATCATTCAATTTGTACATTTGTCCAATTTCATTTTGATTAACGATCGTCCAAATAACTAGTGTTTAATTTGCCGACAGTGTTTAATTATAAGCTCCCCGGTTAATTATCAGATTTGACCATAATTAGTTGAACCGAGATGTGATTAAAAGTAGTCAACCTGTCCAATGACGCAAGGTGTTCATTTTTGTCATCCTATGTCCAATTTCATATGCGTTGTTCAGATATTAACGATGTACTTAGTTGTGTGTCGTATTTCAGTTTTGCCGCGATATGTGACAGTCTGACAGCATGTTCATTAATGCAGTGGGGTTTAGTTTTTCGGGTTTAATATTTAGATTCTATGTCCAGGTTTTAGAGAATATGATTAGGTTTAGATTCTCTGTGCGGCGTTTAGATGCTGTAATGAGTTTGTAGATTTGTTAAATACTGTTGCGTTCTACGAGTCGCAATGTTTTATAATTATTTTGTTATTCCCACTCTGTCGTATTGCGATAAGGTGGAATATTGTTCGTGATTCATACAATGATGTTTGCCATGCCAGAAGCTTATTTTTCGGGACTAATACGGCGAAAACGATGCGATTTATTTAATCGCGATGGGAGGAATATCTTTTTTAGGATTCATACAATGACGGCCACAAATCAATTTTTCGGCGGCTTGTGATATATATGAAACAACGTAAAACTAAACAAAGTCAATATATAATCTTGATTAGGGGATATAATACATATATTATATAGACTAGGAACTATAATATGCACTATATAAACGGGAAACAATATACACGCACAACCTGTTTTAATGGGATGTCCTTTGATTTATATTGCTGCAACTAATAAAATAAAAACAATGGTAAAACGAAAGAATTATATAATTAACAAAAACAATAACTAATGAAGAATGAGGTTTGGATTGGAAACAAATGAAATTGGCTGCTCTCTTTAATGCTCAGCCCCCAAAACAGTTAGCAGCCACAAAGTATCACCATCTCTTGCATATGGAATTGGTTTTGACAGACTTCTAATGCCAACGTAATTTCTAACATTTTACTTCCCCGATGACAACTGTTTCTGTCCGATTTCTGTAAAAACCAACAATTTGTCCACAAGTTAAATGTCCCCGGTGTTTCACCGTTACAACTGATGGTGATTTTGCCGTAAACGTGCCACGAGAGGTAACTGTTGCGTTGTTTCTGGTTGTATGGATTATTTTGTTGTCAAGTATACACTGAAAAAAAACTTGTGTTGAAACAACACAAACTTGTGTTGTTTTCAACGCAAGTAAGGTGTCTCTATTTAACAACACAAACTTGTGTTGAAACAACACAAAACGTGTGTTAAATGTTGAAACAACACAAAACTTGTGTTAAAATTTATCAAACAACACAAACTTGTTTTGAAACTTGTGTGAAAATCTACACAATACTTGAAATTTTTGAAACTTGTGTTGAAATTTTTGAAATTTGTGTTGAAATTTCTGAAACTTGTGTTAAAATTTCTGAAACTTGTGTTGAAATTTCTGAAACTTGTGTGGTTTCATACAAACTTGTGTATAACCATCCACAAAAACTTGTGTTGTGTTTTTCCCCAATTTATATACAGTATAGCAACCTTTTTATGCAGGACCCATCTCTTTGCTCTGTTAGACCTGTAAAGTTTGATAAAAGAAGGAAACAAATTTTTTTTTTTTTTGTAAGATTATTATTTATTCATAAAATCATAGGAAAAACTAAATTAATACATCAAAACTAAATAGATATTTGAAATGTTAACAGAAAAACAGAGAATTCTAATACTAATTATATTGTGTTATATATAATGACCCCCCCCCCACACACACACACACACACACACACCCCACTTTACCCATCACAAAATATAACATAGCTATTTAAATTGTTCTTAACCCCACACACTTTACCTATCACAAAATATAAAATAGCTATATAAATTGTTCTTTACCCCAAAACAAGAACTGAGAATATAAAGATATGTACACAGTATCCCTACCCCATACTCCAAAATATATAATTCAAATAATATCTAAATTTAATAACATCCAAACCAAGCACTAAGATTAATTATGCACTAAATTGAAACAATTTCAAAAACTGAAAAGTGCTACAAAATCACACTACAAGTGATTTGTGAGACATATAGAAATAACTAATATACACAGAAAACTAACAAAAGAAAAATGCACTATTTTGCAGGAGTAATAAAATGATGTAAAACCTTTTCCTCATTAAAAAAACCCCAAACAAAATGAATATTTTGTAAATAAAAGAAGCAAAGCATCAAGATTGCAGGATTGAAATAAAAAAATATCATATGTACAAAAAATTTATATACAATCACAAGTCATAAGCCACAGTGGTTCAGTGAGTATAAGGTGTTGGCCGAGAAATTTCAACTGGATTTTCCGGCATAGTTCCCACTTGTCAGTAGTGTTGGATATGGCAAGGGATAATTGGGTACAAGCCCGGAATCGAAAGAGAGAGAGAGAGAAATGGGGTTTAACGTCCACTTGACACAAACTAGGTCATTTCGGGATTAACATATGGTTTAATTTTATTTCAATAATTCGTTGCGCATAGGGGTCTTTAGCAGTGGGAGGAAACCGGAGGTCCCGGAGAAAACCCACAAGATTGGACAGGCGACCCTACTCCTTGTCACGTACAACCGGGGATTCGAAACCACGCCAGTTGACTCAATGACAGGCCGTATGATACCGCACGCACGTGCTTACCATTCGGCCATCCACCACCCCTTTCCCCAATTCCCGGAATCGAAACCATCCCCACTGCGTTCACTTAGAAGAACCCTTGACAATTGAATTATTTGACTCAATGACAGACTTCCTGATGAAATGTGTGCGTGTTAATCATTGCCCCCCCCCCCCCCCCGGTTCCCGTTAAAGAACCCTTGACAGTTGAAATATTTGATATAAGAGTAGGGTGTAGGGCAGAATCACTCTAAGAACACAGAAAACTGGGATAATAAAGCGTATTTCATTTCATAAGCAAGGGAAAGTCACCTTTATGTAGGTCAAGGTTTTTTGTAATTCTGGGTGTATTTGATCTACATTTGGTTTCTAGTAATGCCTATTAAATACTTTATGATTTCTGACCAAATTCTAAGTGATTTATATGTCACTTTACTTGCTATATTATACATACATTTCTGAAGAGAATTAAAATCTAATTGTGTTTTGGAAGAAAATTTAACATTAATAACAAAAAATAAGTATTTAAAAATTGGGTCAAATGCATTCTTTCCCAGAAGTATAAAATAAATTGATGCTTGGGTTTTCTTGTTGTTATCATACAGCAAATACTCTTTCAATGGTGTTCCAGTCTAAAAAATAAAAAGTAGGAGATAAGAATACTTTCTATGGTTCACAACGTTTAAATAAACAATTTATTTTGCCACATCGAGACCGAGTCTCTATTTGGTTTCAACTTTGCGTAACGCTTATTGTGTCTTGTCCAGTTACAGACCCAGGCAGATTATTATGCTCAAATCAAATGAGTTAGAAGTCAGAAAAAAGTCTTGAGATTTGGGACTGAAGTCTCATAATAGGTCAACTATTCACCCTTTCATACATGTATTGTCTGCAAATCCAGATTCCCTACTCCATCATGGCAGCACCTATTTACTTGGCAATGTCTAATTATTTTTGGACCCATTCTTATTTTATTTCCATTGACAACAAATTGGATATTACCTTTAAAATCTATTGAAATCTATTTGAAAGTAAAATACTGTCCATCATTATTTTACTGCTATTTACTGTAAAAATACACATACATGTAGGGCCTATCGCAACTTGAAGGAAATCAATGGATGTGATTGGCAAAAATCAAGCATGCCAAGTACTTGAAACAGCAGAGTCCTATGCATTGCCCCAAGAAGAATAACTAGATTACCAAGCAAGTGTATAGAAGTACTTCCTGATTAAAAATACAAATATATATGTTACTTACATTTTGCGTGTTTTCCCCTTGTCAGTGATACAGGACGGAGGACCTGACAAGGACAGCTGTCTAGTCGTTCGGATGGGACGAAAAACCGAGGCCCCGTGTACACATTGGCGTGCACGTAAAAGATTCCTTGGCAATTGGAATTCGATATAAGAGTAGGCTGTAGCGCCGCTGCCCGGGCAAAATTCCCTTCATAGCACACTGTATGGCGTATGCCCGTCCTCATTAGCCCAATTTATGAGCAAAACAGTAGGATGTTAAACCCCATTTCATTTCATTTTCAAAATTATAAAATAATTTGATGGCTTAATATTCAAAAGGTACAGTCCTTCATGTTTATAAAATTGTACGGGAGCCATAAAAAGCTCCTGATACCTTGAATATATGCAGTTTAAAAGTAAACAAAAATCTCAATATTTAGGAGAGAGAGAGAGAAATGGGGTTTAACGTCCATCCAACCCCCCCACCAAGTGTATAAAACCAGTTCCTGATTTAAAAAGCAAATATGCATGGTACTTACATAGTCTTTGTCTGATAAGCAAGATCTGTGAGAAAACGTCTCCACAATATCAATAGCCCTTTCCAACTTGATCTTCCGAGGTGGGTAACTGAAAAAAAAAATGGCAATCTATTAGTTGGCTTAAATTGACTAGACAGTTTTGATTAATTAAAAAAATGTTAATTTAATTACATTTGTTTTGTTTCATGTGTTGGTTTGCTTTGCCACAGATGAGACAGTGATATCTACATATAACTAAGATTCTGTCTCTGCTCATACATGACGTGTACAGTTTTACTATACTAAACTGAATTTTAGATTTCAAAATAGCATAACAATCTTTTCTATTAGAATTGAATAGTTACCCACCAAGAAAAAGCTGCTCTATCATCATTTTTTCCAGCCATTTCTTCTTCCATTTTTTTCTTTTATAATTTCTTTTGTTATTACATGATCTTTTTCTGGGTGATTTGCATAAACATTCAATATTGAAACTGAAAAAATAAATACATAATATGTAATTTACGATTAAAGCTACCTTACCATATATACAAACTGTGTGATATGAAATTGAAACTAATGTATCTATATGTATCAAAAGTTTTAATCCCAAGGAACTACCAAGCCGTAAAAGTCTATCTTAATAATCCTTGTTTGTCACATGGTTTCACTGTCGCAGTAATTAGAAGACGGCCATGGTGACTGAGTAAATTAGGTGCTGGCACACTAGCATGGAGGCCACAGGTTATCTCTTGGGGTTGACCGAGAAAGCTCATCTTGATTTTGCAGAGTGGTTTCCCCTGAGATCCAATGTACACATTGGCGTACACATAAAAGTTCTCTTGGCAGTTTGAATTCGGTATGAGAGTAGGCCATAGTGTCGCTGCCCAGACAAACATTTTCACTTAGCACAATGCATTAGACCAGTCGGAGCTGACCAGTAGGACGTTGTCTTTAAACCCAATTTCATTTCAGGTAATCTAGTATTTTTCTAGTAAGATTGAAGTCTCTCTACTTTCTTTATATGTAAATATCATATTTGAAATAAGTCATACTTTTATTCGATATGGGGTGGGGCTGGGGGGAATGGTCTAGTAGGTAATGCATGCGCATGAAATCACAGGGTCTGTCATTGTGTTAAGTGGCATGGTTTCAATTTCAAGGAGTAGAGTCGCCTGTCCAATCTCTTGAGTTTTTTCGCTGGGTCATTCGGTTTCCTCCGTTTTCTAAATACATGTACCCCTACGCCAAGCGAATTATTCATATTAAATTGAAGCATACCTTCTCTAATCTCTGGGTCCTTTTGTTTCCTCCTTTTGCTAAATACCCATACCCGCAAGCGAATTATTCATATTAAATTTAACCTTACCTGTCCTTTTTCCCGAAACCACCTAGCGTCTGTAGGCTAAGTAGATATAAGGACCCATCTTGCAACAACTCTACATGTAGGTTCGTGCATAATTAATATTACAGTAACATACCAATTTTTAATACATGTAGAATGAGACAGTGTGCAGGGAAAGGGTGGAAACGGAAGTAGGCTAATCATCGTCGTAGTTGATTACCGGTATGCATATAGGCACAGCATGGACTACTTGATTCTTCAAATACAAGTACATGTAAGGCCTTGTTTATGTCATTTCTCTCTCTCTCTCTCTCTGTTGCATGTAAGTGCCATATAAATACTTTATTTTGGATTGTATGTTCACATACACTAATCATTGTAGGACATTGGTAAAAAAAAAAAAATAGAAAATATAAAAATTAATTGAAATTTTTACCTGTTTTTCTTCGATTCAATGCCAATGGAGTCCTTGGTAAATTCTCAATAATTATTGCTGGAAGGTGGAAAGAGTCACATATCATCATTGACTGGAAAAAAATAATAAAACTATAGAGAAACTTCCACAGGCTGATTCTAGTTCCATTATTTATTAACTGTGACTGAATCAGGCAAAAATGGGGCCTAATATTAAATATTACACAGACTCACAGAGGTTGAACAACGGATTACATGTCATTTGGGACTCACGTCATTTGGGACTCGCGTCATTTGGGACTCAAAAAAATATGACCACGACATTTGGGACTCGGGTATACGACGTTTGGGACTTTGGTATACGTCGTTTGGGACTCGGGTTAACGACGTTTGGGACTCGGGATAATTTATTAGAAATAGGCCAATTCAAAACACGAAAGAAAATATTTATTAACATGAAACACGTGGTTAGTAAAGGGCTCAACCAAACGATAAAACATTAGTTGCACTTACGGTTCTTTGATAATCATCGTTTCTCATAAAAGTTTTATATTTATTTAAAACGAATAATATGCTGATGATAGCATGTGCCAACCAAAATTCAATTTTTGAGCTACAGACCTGAAATTTTGCACACAGTTAGAAAAACACCTGAGAATCATTAATCTTTTTCAATTATGACAATCGGTTCATAACTTTGTTTTTTGTAGCTAATTTTATATACCCATACGTAAGCAGCGTTTTCCCAAAATCCGTCAAAAACAGGCAAAATCGAAAAAATAATATTTTGACTAACTGAATGACTTTGGAACAGACTCAAATTGTACACAGATGTTCTAGAGACACACATTTACTAAAATCAACCACAAAAATATTGTTTTTACCTTTTATTTTGACAAAATTTAAAGCAAATCGGACATATTTTGTTCCGAAAAAACATAAAAATAATAACTATAAAAAAAAATCATTAAAAATAGTGGAAATTGTTTTTTGATGATTAAATGGAAACTGGAAACATGTTCTCATGGACAGCTATGAAATATCCATGTTCTCGTGGACAGCTATGAGTATGAAATATCAAAAAATAAAATTATCAAAATAAATGCACTGAATCATAACTAACAAAACTCCAGAATTGAAGTTTTCAGTATAAAAATATAAAAAAACACAACAATTCAGCTAAATATCTACAAAATATTCTGCTTATACTGAAAAAGTTTTGTAAATATGATTAAACAATACTGATAAAATGAAGGAAAACAGGCTGGAATACATGATACATGAGTTAATAATACATGAGTTAATATTAATAATCTATATACTATATGTTAAATAATAAAAATATTGAGACAAACAAGATGAAAAACAAGGTATAAAGAAGTTAACTACAGGTATTTAAGTTGTCAATCATAAAGTCAAGTTAACAGTACTACCGGTAATGAAAAGAGTAACACTGTAAAAACTTCAGAACAGAAACAGGTGAAAAACAGTTATAAATAAGTTGACAGTAATAAATATATGTTAGCTATATTAATAATATTAGTATAAAGTAATAATGGAAAAAGTAACTTTATATAAATAAGTCAATAATATTAGTTAAAAGTTATGGAAAAAAAGGTAAGAAAATAACATTGAAACAATACATAATAAGTTAAAAACAATGAAAAATGTAACTTGGGGGTAATGTCTCTTCAGAACTACTAGTAGACCTATCCATTTCTCAATAATTAAAAAAAAAAACCTAAAAATAAAAATATAGAAAAGTACTCCTTATTTCTTTTTTTTATTGGGCTTTATTATACCATACAATTCTGAGCTATGTTTGTTTTCGTAAAAAAATCAACTGCACAGTCTTAGAAAGTTAAAATTCTTCCTATGATCACTCATTATTAGCACGTGTGTAACTAACGGGTGTCTAACGGTACATTTGACACGCCCCCGCCATTACAATATGGCCGACAGAATTTCGGTCACATGGAGAAAAATTGAATTTTACCAATGTTCACGTCCACTTATGGAAATAAATGAAGATGGATCTTATAAAGGGATATTTAATCCATATTTGAGCAGGTTTTTTTTCGCTCCGCATCTTCCACGAAAAGATTTACAAAATTTCAAACTTTTCAATCGGAGAAAAAAAATATTCTTACCTTGCTACGAGTGATAAATTTTGCATGCGGAGCAACCTTGACCTCTTAACTAACTGTTTTCGGTTGAATGGAACCGGTATCGATTGCAGGTAACTAACACGAGGCCGTAATGCAAGGCTAGCTTTTCGCGAAAAAATAGTGCCATATTTGTGACAGCCAATTAAGAAAAAAGAGTTACGTCCCTTTTTCGGTTGGCACACGCTACTGATGAATTTATTTGAAAATGACCTACACAAAAAACAAAATAAATATTTACACGACATGCAATCTTTTTTTACAAGCCCCTAGAAATTGTTAACGATAATCCGTGAGCTGCACGTTGACATGCTTGTCGTAGATGGCAATACCAATTGATAAATTAGTGCGTACAAGGCAAAGTTTTTTTGTGGAAAATATAAGAAATGGCAACGAACAAAGCGGGATAATTAAAGCTGATAATCCCAATGTTATTACAGTATGTTCAAAGAAACCTAACGGTTCTTTCATGGATGAGGAAAAACGTGAGTTGTCAATCATCGAGAATGGCGACTGTGTGTTGATTGCAGTTATACCGTTTCACGAAAAAACATTAGCAGTGGTCGGTCAATCAAGCTCGTTTACTATTTATAACGCAAATTTTTCGTTTCGGTTAAAACAAAATATACGTCCATTTTAATTGGCCGACGGATGTGTGACTAATAGAAATATGGCGGGAGGACAAACTGACCAAACAGTATATTTCGAGGTATTTGAGGTAAGCTAATTTAATATTATATCATAACTGCATGTGCATACTTGTGTTTCTGTGTGATTAAATATTCAAAAAATCATTCTTAGGATACAGCCTCGACACCAGTCCGCCTTGAACTGCAATGTTTGTTTTGTGTTCTGGGCGCCATTTTGAAAAAAACTGACATGACCTATATAATACAATCCAGCGATAGTGCAGTCAATTTCCTTTAAAAGGGAATCCGAATTTGTTAAATTTCTGCAATATCACTTCGGTGGTAGCGGACGTTAAATAAAGCTATTTCATGTACAAAGACCTACAATAAAATCCAGGTGAATTGGGAAAAGTATTCATGTATTTTCTTGATGAAGAGTAGCTATTTCAATTTGTAAATGCCCAGTCATCTTAGACAAATAATAATTCCAACTTCAAATCAGTTGTATTTATTCAAATCATACTATGAATAATTGTATTTTTCCACTTGCATAATAATAAAAACTTGACTTTTATTATTTTATTTCTTCAGGCCAAGAACATGGAAAATTGGTAATTGCCTTGTATCACTGCTAACTATAAGGCACAGGGAGCCTTGGGCAGAAATGATAATAATATGGTTCTCAGATATGTTACTGTGTACAGACTGAACAAAAAATATATATACACTTGCTATTACATGTACATTATATCATTGGCAATAATAAGATCCAATTTTAGTTTTTAGTTACACACTGTTAACCACCAATAGATGACAATAAATCATAAAATGTATTCAGCTCGACGTAAGACTTAAATAAATAGATACAGTTGGTTTAACTTGAATAGAAGTTTTAATTATCTATGCTGCATATATGCATATATCACCTTGCAGCTGAATCACATTACATATCTTTTTAGTTGATGTTCATATCGTCTTACGTATTTGTCAACATCAATGTGACCTTGTTCTATGTCACATTAGCCTTTTCAGACTTGTTACCACGAATTTACTCACCACACCCTCGCATAGTTATGAATTTATTGTTTCACTTGACTAAAGAAACATTTTGTAGGAATGTATGCTTTTATAGATTGGACACTTGTTTGCAATATCATTGTCGGTGGAAACTGGCACTATACCTAAAGAATGACTGAACAAATAGCGGAGACGGGGTTTCAGCCGGCTGATTTAAATTATTTCTTTAAATACAGTAAAGCTTGAAATATGTCAGTTTTCACTCTTTAGAATGTTTTTGTAAATAAGTTTTTATTGTAGTTTCCATGGCGTATTCCCAATAAGCGTTAGAAACAAAGATATACACCCTTAATCCCGGTGCCGATAAATGTTGGGTTGTGTGGAACTTGCTAACAAATCTCGGGTACGATATATGTTTGATTCTGGTTGAGAACAGCATGAGAGCAACATGATTGTTTTCATTGGAGATGAGACGCAAATATTCAAAGGGGTCAGACAAACTCTAAACCAACCGCGTTCCCTTCACTGAGTCCCTTCAAAGGAGGCCCTGTCTGTCTACACTGTTAGAAAAAATCTGGTAAATTTACATGAAAATTACTGGCAGCAAAAGTTGCCAGTAAATTTACTGTAAATAAACATTCAGCTGTAATATTACAGAGTTTCTGTAATTTGACTTTGTGAGTAAATTTACCTTAAAACAGTAAATGGAAAATAACATGAGTTTGTTTTTTAACTTTGAACTGTAAATTTACCTAAAAGCAGTAAATGAAAAATTACAGACAAATGTTAAAATAAAACACAATGATTTTAACTTCCGTTCCAGGATTTTAGATGTAAGCTTGTGGTACTGTCTACTGCAGGCATTGTAACTCTCCTCTAGAGACAGTCAAGCTAACACTGGCCAATCGGTTTAATTAACCGTCTTCAATTGACCTTGGTTACGAGATAATACAATCTATGACAAGTAAGCAAAACATTTTTTTATACGTTAATGAACATACTTACAATCTGATCAACGTACGATGAATAATAATACACGTTTTGGATCGTATAAATAAAGAAAATTAAATATATATAACATGCAATATACCAAATTGCACAAAATGTGATTGTCCATATTATGGTTAATAAATTAGAATGAATACTATAAGACAATAATTATTAGGAATGGTTCGTTGCTATGGAATACTAAAATAAAATAAGAGACAGTAAATTTACATAAGAGACAGTAAATTTACCAATAAGTAAATTTACAAAATAATGTGAATAAACGTAAATCTGTAAAATTACCTACTGGCTTTGCTATTTTCATTTCAATATTGAAATATTACGCATGTATTTTTACCGGGGTTTAATGTGCCTTTGGTTTCATCAAAGTTTATTGTAAAAAAGAATGAAACTTGGTAAATATACATCATTTTGGTAAACATTCCGAACATTTTTGGTAAAAATTTAATTGCTGTAAATTTACTTATATTTCTAACCTGAAAGTTTACAAAATAATGTGAGTAAACGTAAAATCTCTAAAATTGCATGCTAAGAGACAATAAATTTACCGAATACGATAACTACCAATAAGTTAAACATACATTATGCAAGAGCTAAATCTGCCTATTGCAGGTCTTTCTTTAGGCCTGATATGTTCTATAAACTATGAATTAGACATTTATTAACATGAAAAGACCATAATCAACTCATGGATGCCATCTTATGTGTTGGATTTTCACTGGATTTGAGTCCGATCTGGGGCTCAACGCTCATTAATGATTAAATTCAAAAATAGATAATCAAGACTATGGTTTTTTTATCGTACTGACTTAATAAGTAATGATGATCGAGGCTAGGCCTAACATCCAGTCTCTAATATCTCGGTTCCGAGAGGATCAATTTGACAGAAATTTTCAGCATATTCCCATTACATTATCTAGTTTTTAACTATTATAGTGAGAACTGCTGTAATTTTATTTATATTTCTAACCTAAAAGTAAATTTACAAAATAATGTGAATAAACGTAAGATCTGTAAAATTACATGCATGCTTGTTTATTTTGAGTTCAGTTTGGAAATATTACATATGTAAGAATGTATTTTTACTGATTTTGAATGTGTCTTTGATTTCATCACCGTGTATTGTAAAAAAAGACACGAAACTCTGTAAACATACACGAAACTCCGTTAAAATACGCCAGACTTGGTAGAACTACTACATTGTGGTGAACATACCGATAATTAATGTACAAAAACTGCTTGTACTACTGTAATTTTACAAAAATTTCTAACAGTGTACCTGTGGAATAACATGCATTTGTATCTGTTAAATTTGTGTGGTAGACAGATTGATATTATTTATATAACGTCTTACCCCAAACAAATTGAAAAAGAAACCATGAAGTTTCTGAGAGCGATATTTCGTAATTAGTGTGCTTTAATGGTGGGAGAATAAATAATTTCTTTTTAAATTTTTCAAACACAAACTGGTCATATCTAAAATAGCATTTTCTGACCAGACCAGCGATAATCTCGTAAGATATGACTATTACTAAGTCTATTAAATGGTTTTCGACGTCTCTTCAAGGTCACCGTGTTGCGCCAAAGTCGTGAAACGCACCGTCGGGGGATTTGTTGGGGCCTGTCTCCCCCAGAAAAATTTCTAGAAATTTCAAGTCGGTCTTGCCTGGCCGTGAATACGGCAACCTGAAAGTGGTCGATTTTAATGTAGACATCTGAACTCCAATCAACAAATCAATCAACCAGGCTGGTGTCGTTGCATTCACATGACACCAGACGTGTCACCGATGAAACAAATATGCCTTAAACAAATGTCGCTGTTTCAAGGTCCCAAATAATAGTCCTTTTTTACTATTAATATTAATTCAATCAGTATGTGCTATTTACCTTATAATAGTCGTCTTGGCTTTTACCCTACATTACACAAAACACCAATGGTAACTGTCGGGTGGTCTCTCCAGTCTTAATGAAGGCGTGGATGGAAAACAGCTGAGACCATGGCTTGTTCACCACCCGAAAAGTTGCATCCATTTACCAAGTTTTTGCGCGTGCGAGTAGTTGCATCTGTCTATCAGTACAAAAAATGTGATGGCGCCTTTCCCCAACTTTTACTCTTTTTTGATAAAATCCCGGTGCACTATGATCGATGAAATCTTCGTCAAGCTAAAACAAAAAATAAATAAAAAAGTACATTTAATTACATGTTAATAAATAAATAAAAAAGTACATTGAATTACATGTTAATAAATTCTTATATACATGGGTATTTAATTGCATGAGTACTTACGCTTGACGACACGTCAGTGGGATCTTTTGGTCGCAGAGTCTGTCGGGTTCTTTGTAGCAACCTTACAAGTGCTGCCATGGGTGGTCTGCTATGAATGGGTTCTTCTGCAGAACCGACACTGGATAAAACTCTCTCCGCTATTGAGGAACATGACTTGGTAAAAACATTTCCTTTGGCTTCATGCTTTGCCTGTAATGATAAGATAAAACATATTAAACTACAAATTTATTATTGGTTTATTTATATTTTATTTATTTACACACATATATAAATTTTTAATTTAATTGATATATGATTTTTAAACCTACTGTAACTTTTATCTTGGTAGCCGTGTGTATACCGGGTTCTGCTGGGTGAAGATAGTTCTTTAAGCCTGGTTGGTATGTATCACCATCTTGGATTACTGTTGCCGGACATCGTGTTGGTCCACTTCTTTTGGAACACCTCCAAATCGTGGTTTTCTTCTCTGTCTAAAATATATTAAATTCATTTATTATTATAGAGTTAACTAGGTTAACTAGAGTTAATTATCTTTACATTTTGTAGCTGAAATACATTTCTATACAAGGTAGTTAACTAGGTAAAATAAATCACCCTACCTTAATTGTATAACTAAACCCTAATTGGTTGTCAAACAACTTGGACTTGCCACGGGAGGTACCAGCTTCTACCTGCGTATACACCACTACGGGTTCTTCGTCGCAGAAGACACTAACGTCGGCATCGTCTGAGATGGAGGAATCCATGACCGGAACTGGCACATCGTATCGGGTTTCGGCTGTAAACGATTCTTCTACTTCCATAGGTTCAGTTGTTGGGACCTCCATAACTTCTTCTTGTTGTTCGTCCATATCTTCCGTCTGCTTATTAGATTTAAGGTTGTTTTTTTAAACATAAATTAGATTACAATTCAACTAACACAAAAGTGTAAAAAGATTTTTTTCTAGTCTGTGCCCGCGTTTATGTCTACTTTTGGCAAAATCGTTATAATATAAAAAAATCATGAAACAAGAATCAAAATGGCCGCCAATCGGGTCTCCAACGCCAATCCAACCTCCCAAGATATAATTTCAAAACAGATTCTTACCTGCTGGTTCAAGTCGAGCCGTTTCTGCTTTAATCATAATGTGATTCTGTAATGTAAGTATTTGAACAACATCGTAGCGCCGAACAACTAATGTTAATTAAGCATGATTTCTGAAAAATTGAACAGATTTGATAATAACATGCCGAAATTTTTTTCCTGACCGCGCCATATTATAAACATGAACTTCCGGTTTAAATTGTTGGAGTTTTTTTTTAAGGAAACGAAATACTAATATTATACAGAGAAACAATATCGATGCTAAATTACATACATGGTATTATTTTTTTTATATAAATATTCACAAACCTGCGGTCTTGTATTCTATGTGACCATTAGCTTACATTTGTCAAACATATCATGCTCCAAAATCATTTCAGCACGTTGTTAAATGTTAAATTAATTGTTCGTTCGTTCGTTCGTTCTTGGTGTTTAACGTCTGCTTCCACATAAGTGATATCGCAGACAAGACATAGGAGAGCCGAAGCTGATTCCTGTTTTTTAGAATATGATTTTGCAATCTTTCCATTTGGCCTTAGGCCATGGATTTGGTTTAGTGGGAAGTTCTTCCCTTTATTTAATATAAATTAATTGTGTGAAATCACTTCATTTAATGTCCGCTTCCACCGAGATGATATCGCAGACAAAATGTAGCCTATAGTACGTTGATTTTATCAACCAATCACATTCAATAACAGTTTTACTTATTTTCTTGTCAACGCATTTGGAGTCAATTGTTAAAATCACACCGGGCATGAGCGCTCAACAGGCCTTTGATCTACCAGTTTATTGGGCCCAACTTTATTTTAACTACAGACATCTTAACACCAATTAGCATTCAAGTCTGTCTGGCTATATTGTCTGAGTAAAAAATACCTTTCTCTTACTTGTGGACCCCCGGATTAAGACTTTGTATGTAGTTCAAATTTAAAAAAAAAAAAATTTGTTGACGGTACACATTACTTGTGTTAATTATATGGAAAAAAACACAAGATTTGTGTTAATGCATTAAAAAGAACACAAGTTTGTGTTAATGCAATGCAAAACAACACAGTGTATATATCTTTTATTTGCATATGAGGTTTGTCCATCGCCTCCTTCGGTACTTTTGTTACCAAACTTCTTTATATGGGCTTTCTTTATTAGAAGCAAACCCACAACGTGTCACTACTGAACTTATCCACCGATACTAGAAAATATAAAAATAAACAATTAATAGAGAGACGATGCTTAATAAAATTGTCTGTACTCGTATATAAGCTACCACCATAGGAAAGTACGCGTCATCTGGATTCGGCATTGGGGATTATGTCGGAATTAAAAATGATTGTTTCTCGGGATATTAGGTGTTCTATCGGGGATTATTCAATGAATATTTAAATTTAACCAACAACTGGCCAGTAAAACCATCATATGTATGACCCAAGGGCGTCGAAGACAGCGGAATCTCGAGTTCAACTTTCTGTAGGTAAAATTTACGCTGCACGAGACACCTACCAATGGGTTAACTATATAGGATTCGGTATTTATTTAAATTGAGTCACTTACCAGTTTGTGTTTTCAATGTGAAGGATTCTTTTCTGTACGCATTAAAGGCGACAACTCCCCTTTTGGGCTCCACAAATTCTTGTGCCAATATGGCCGTATTATATTTCATTTCTAAAACCATCTTAGGTGCTAAATAAGGTAGAAAAAATCATGGTCAAAAGAGACAGAAAATAACCATGTTCTCGACGGATTTCATTAAATTTTGGAGCATTCTTGGAGATTGGTTTGGACAAATTCAGTATATCACATGTCTGCGCCCAGATACTGTAGCTGCCCTTCTTCATGTGATGGTAGGGGTTGTATCCATCACGACAGTACGACAGAATTATCTCTCGCGGGTCATCGGTGCTTCCCTGTCACATCACACTATTTGGTATAGACTTGGCTGAAGCTGTCTGTAAAGCACATGCGAGGTTGGGGATATCATATACATTGTTGTAGTTCGAGTCTTGATTATGGGGAAATGAAAGTAGGCTGGTGCTGGTTCGTCGCTAACTTTACCACGAATTTCTGTGTTGCACCTAGAACATAGGAATGGCGGAGTTTCCTTGACAAGGTTATGATGGTTATTCTTACAAAAGATGTATGCCGTGTGTTTTACTGTAAGATCTTCTATTAACCTGAAAAAAGTTTGTGGTGTCTAGCTATCATGTTAATATTCATATTACTGTACAATGGGAGATAACTCCATTCTAAATGTATATTGATCATGTGACATGTATGACGTATTAGAGTTCCATGGCGCGTTTCAACCATGTTGTATGTTTGTCAAGGATGATGAATAAAATCCATCGTAATCCTCAGAACAGTATGGTTTTCATTACATCCACACTACATATTTGGCGACGAGTGATTTAAGAATCTACGTTTACAAGAATTAGCCATGCCAGAGCCTTCATCTTCAAGAAATGTACAATTTCAGCCTACACATTTGTCCACTTCGATTCACCTGCCCATGCCGTTCCTGCCTACACCAGGTAATCCTTCCATTCCATGGGTTCAATGGGAACGTTTATTTACGAATTACATAATCGCTTCCGCAGCAGATACACTGCCAGCAGAACAGAAGAAAGCTATTCTACTCAATTCCTTAGGAGCAGAAGGCCAACGTATTTTTTTATACTTTTTTACCCGGTTTCAATCCAGAAGATGATCACTGTGATGATGTTTATATGTATGCCATCATAGATAATACCGTATGATTGCCGACTCGTCTTTAGCCCTTTACGTGATGTTGCGTTCTGGTTCGTGCGCATATTTTTTTGCGCAGGGGGGGGTTGTTTACTTCCGGTCTAGCTTTCGACAGTACGTACGCACAGTGACACGCGAAATTGACATTTTTGAAACTTACGTTTATGAAATTAATAAAATGAACACGTATATAAAAATTATATGACAAAAAAAAAAAGAACAAGATATCTCCTTCCAAAATATTTTTAGATTATTGCAAAAGATGAAATAGCTACTGTGTGACGTTAAGTTGAAAAAAGGTTACAAATGGGCAAAAAATGCCTTTCTTCATTCATGAATCATGTACCGTACCGATTTACACTAAAATTAGGAAATATTTTTGATATAGAGATAATACTTCAAACACCTTTATTTTTATTTTTCTAATACTTCAAAAAAAAATGTTCTACAATTTAATTTTCAGAAGGAAAAAGGTTATATTGCGAGCTAACTAACCCGCACCTCTGTGCCACACACAGGCCTACGGTATAGGCCTATCTATAGTATGATTAATAAAATTAGATGTTGCATTTTATTATCAATTGCATGGTATATTAGAACAGTTTTAAAAATCTTGTTTATATTCAAATGTGTATTTTTTTAATAAATTCAGCTTTGTTTGTATACTTTAGTTGATAAAGATGTAAATATCCCTACAAAATTCTTTTCCAATCTAGGCCTAATTAATAATTTTAGAAAATGGCCATTTATTTATTTTAAGTCCCTCTGACGCTCTGTCATTTAATTTAGTTAATTTTATAAATGCAGACCCCCCCCCCCCCCCAAAAAAAAAAAATACACACATACTTTTTTTTCAGCTTGCACAACTGGAAAAAAGTTTACTTATATAAATCCACCCCAATGTAAGCAATTATTTCATAGTCTTTTTGATCTAGGCTTTGTTGAGAAATTAAATTAGCTTCAGTAGATATAACAATTATATATAAGGAAAAAGAAAACACTCTTAGTATTAAATAAAAAAGGAATTATTGCTTTAGTTATCAATGAAAAGGAATTTTTGTTCTAAAATAGATTCTTCCAGGAATCCTGTACATTAAAAGATTTACAAGAGTTGATAAAGGCAACTTCATCCTTGATATCTGATATTTCAATGTTGGCCACACCAATTTGATTTCCTGTTCTTCGGGCTTCGATATAAAAATAAATAGCTAATTACATCATGTGAAAGATGTTTTGTTTAAAAATTTGGAACTATAAGCTTTTGAACAGTACAGCCAAGTACTTTTGGTGTTTAAATAGATGTATGTATTTTTCCAGAAGAACCAAATAAATAAATATAATGAACGTCCATTTCTATAGCGCCAAAATTCCGCAAAAATTGTGTTCATAGCGCTTGGCAAAACATACCTACACGAAGTCTTTAGCTCTAAGTTATCACTTGTTTGTAACAGATGAGTTTTTAAAAATTGTAAGGCACTACATTTATCTCATCATGTTGTTTATATGAATATATGATTACGGTATCCAATATCATTCATGTCATTAACATTTAACTTGTTTGCATACTTGACAAATTAGCCTATAGATCTAGTCAAATT